CTAGACCCGCGCGCCCGTTCCAGCTGGCCCTCGCGCCCGTTCCAGCCGGCCCTCGCGCCCGTTCCAGCTGGCCCCTCGCGCCCGCTCCTAGCTGGCCCCGCGGGCCCGTTCCTAGCCACCATAGCACCCGTTCCAGCTGGCCCTCACGCCAGTTCCTCGCTGGCCTCCGAGGCCGTTCCTAGCCGGCCCTCGCGCCCGCCCTAGTCGGCCCCGCGCCCGTTCCTAGCTGGCCCCCGCGCCCGCTCCTCGTCGGCCCCGCGCCCGTTCCTGACCGGCCCCGCGCCCGTTCCTCGTCAGCCGGACCGCCGCTGGCCCCCAGTGCTCAGTTTGTAGCCGCGCATCGCACAGCGCTGCTCTGCAGCGCCTTTCAGCCGCCCCTCTGCTCTGTTGTGTGATGTCATCATATGCTATCACATTCTGTCTGCCTCCCATCCCTTGTTTCAATTCGTATGTATGGTTTAACTGTGTATGAAAGAATTTGTGTGGTGTGTGTTCTGGAGTTTGGGAATGTGTTTTGTGTTATTTTGTCTGAGCAGGTATTTGTGATGATAGATCTTGAGAAGATCTTTCTGACACAACAATAATCGCTTCAATCGGAGCAAGAACGCGAAAGCTATGAAGATTCAAAGTTCATGAGCTTGCGTTACAATTGCGGCGGTTACAAAGGGAAGTTGTGGGGTGACTCTATATGGAGTTGGGACCTTTGGGGTTGGGGAAATTTGTCACTCTACTGTAACAGCTGCAAATTGGTTGGGAACAACCAAGCTAGGTTGGCAAGGGTGGCCAACTTGGATGGATTGGTTGGGAAGGGACAAATGTCAAATTTAGGGTTCCTATAGGGGGGGAATCTTTGTGCTTATGGGGTTTCCTTGGTTTGGGACTCTCTTAGGACATTCCCTCTCGTCCCTCTCTTCCTATCCCAACCTTTCTCTTGCTCCTCTAATTCCTTGTGAGATTCTTGAACTTTGATTGAACTTTTGAGATTGAGTTAAGTTCTCCTCCTACAGCTTACCCCCCAATGTTTCGAAAGACATAGCGTCGCGAATACTCTATCAATCAACGTGATTCAAATTGAGAACGGTAGCTACGATTACAAGCTACAACATATACGATGTTCGCAACATTCCAACAACTAGTTGTTCATTCACGTTGTTTCTTGTGAAGACGACTTTTCTGTCCAGAATTTCGGTTTTATATTTTGAGTAATTCTAGCTCCTAAGTTCACCTAGACTCCGTCCTTAATCCTAACAAGTGGTATCAGAGCAATATTCAGGACATTAAGAGGAGTCTACAGAAGTTTGAAGATCCTTCTAGACCCACCATGGCCTGTGGGTGTGCCTAAGTGGTGTTCTAAAGATTGGATGTGTCTTCCGCTAAGGGGAAACTCTGCCGAAATTCCGTGGACGCCGACACTTGTGAAAATATCGAGGGAGCTGAGTGTGGACAGCAAAGGGGAGCTGAAATTCGTCATTTCTCAAGGAGAAGATGAATGAGAGAGGAGGGGATGCTAATGGAAGAGGAGCTGTACCTGAGAAGACAAGTGAGCCGCCGCCATCAAATGTTGAAGCTTTGGATGGCTCCAACTATGAGGAATGGAGCGGACGGATGAGGAGTGTCTTCAAACGCTACAAGCTACTGAAGATTGCTGTTGGGAAAGAGAAGATGCTGGAAGAAGGCGAAGCACGTGAACGGTGGATTGAGAAAAGCGCGGTGCTTTTCGACCTCATCCTTCAATCGGTCAACAAGGAGATGTTCGAGCACATCAAGGATCTTGTGGAAGCGGATGATTCGGGTCCAAGGGCGTGGAAACTACTACGCGATGTGATTCAGCCCAACACTCTCCCGATGGTGATTGTGCTCGAGAAGGAACTTGCTGCCATCTCCATGCGACCAGGGGACGATGTGAAGCCGATCCTTGACAAGTTCAAGAACACCTATGCAAGGATGGCAGCAGCGGGCAGCAGTGTATCTCAGCTGCAGCAGTGCACCAAGATCATCTCGGTGTTGGACAACTCTTGGGACAACCTCATCCCCACCCTCAACTCTCAGCAAGATCAATGGACACCTGAGTGGCTAAGGCAGCAGATTCTGCAGGAGGACTTGCGCAGACGCCATGTGGGAGGCGGTGCTGCCACTAAGACTGCTGAGGGGTGTGGAGCTACAGGGCACGGCAGAGGAAGAGGGGGCTGGAGAGGCCGAGGCCGTGGGAGGAGCTTTGGCAGAGGTAGAGGTCGAGGTGACTATAATGAGGGGCATGGGAGCTCTGGTGGTAGGGGGAGTACCAGAATAGAGGGCACCTGCTGGTACTGTAAGAAGGTCGGCCATCCTTGGTTCAAGTGCTTCAGCAGGCCGGAGGGATGGGCACCTCCAGGCATGAAGCCGCCAAGTGGTGAACGCGCACAAGGTGGCGCTGTGCAAGGCTCAGGTGCACAAGGTGAAGGTGCACAAGGTAATACCTATCCTGAGATGTTTCTCATGGTTGAGGATGTGCATGGGCATGAGGATGATGTGGCATCTGTGGGAAAGGTTGTGATGCACCCTCTCACGCACTGGGTAATTGACTCAGGTTGCACCGGTCACATGACCCCACGGGCAGATTTGCTTGATGAGGTCAAACCCCCTGGGAGGATTAAGTATGTGGCAGCAACGTCAGGTGCTTTGCTCCCTGTCATTGGTGTTGGGAATGCCAAGGTTAAGGGAGCTAATGGGGAGCTTGTGGGGCTTGGGAATGTTTTGCTGGTTGAAGGTCTGTCTGCTAACCTTCTCTCTGTGCGGCGGCTGCAGAAGAGTAAGGCCGAAGTGACCTTTGGACCAACCAGCTGCCGTGCTAAGCTTGGGAAGAAGGTGCTGTGGAGTCTGGAAGAGGAGACCAGCTGCATCAAGGACCTATGGCAGCTGCCCATCATCCTTTGGAATGGGAAGACTCCAACAGCAGCAACGGCAGCAGCAGCAAAGGCAACAGCAGGAGGAGATGCAACTGCACCAACTGATGGGGTCTTGGAAGCAGTCAAGAAAGTACAGAAGCAGCAGACACATGGTGAGGTGCTTGCTGGTGTGGATGCGAGTGCGGCATGGGCTAAGGCTTCATCAAGGAGTGGTGAGACCGATTGGGAGACATGGCATGAGAGGCTGTGTCACGTGAACTTCCCTATGCTGCAGAAGTTGGTGAAGGATGGGAGCCTGAAGGGCTTGGAGGTGATAAGGGGAGTGAAGGAGATTGGGAGCTGCCCTACATGCTTGGAGACCAAGTTCTCCAAGTTCCCCTTCAACAGCACTACAGGACCAGCCAAGACTCCACTTGCACTTGTGCACATGGATGTGGTGGAGCCCACAAGAGCCCCTTCCCTCTCAGGCAGCCGCTATTTCTTGACAATTGTGGATGACCACACTCGGGCAGTGCGGGTTTACCCTTTGAAGAGCAAGGGGGAGGTGGCAGAGGCTGTCCTTAAGGAGTGGATGCCTAGAGCTCAGAGGGAATGCAGACACAAGGTGAAGGTGATCCGCAGTGATAATGGTGGGGAGTTCATTGGAGCTGATTTTGAGGGGGAGTTGAAGAGGAAGGGGATCCAATATCAACTGACAGTGCCCTACAACCCGCAGCAGAATGGCGTGGCTGAGAGGTTCAACAGGACCCTGCAGGAGGGGGCACGCACTCTCCTTGGGCGTGCAGGACTGCCTGATCCGTTTTGGGTGTCTGCACTGAGGCAAGTCGCCCTTCTGAAGAATAGGGTGCTGGCTACAGTTGGGGATAAGGAGTGGATCCCATATGTCAAGTGGTATGGGAGTGCTCCAGCTGTGAACATGCTGAGGGCATTTGGGTGCATGGTGGTATTTCATGTGCCCAAGGAGAAAAGGGGGAAGTTGGAGGCTTCTGGAAGATGGGGTGTGCACTTGGGGATTGCAAAGGATCACAAGGGGTGGCTGCTGTGGGACTTGACCACCCAGAAGCTGGCAGTGTCAATGGATGTGAAGTTCCTTGAATCCCTGTAGTACAAGGAATGGAAGCAGCAGCAGCAAAAGCTTCCATCTACACCTCTTGTTGTCGAGGCAGATGAGGTGCAGCGACCTTCAAGACAGGTGGAGGTTGCAGTGTCTGAGGAGGAGATGTCTGGGGTGACTGAGGAAGGGGGAGCAGCTGAAGTGGAGCAGCAGTAGCAGCAGCATGCGTCTCCACCTCGAGTCCCACACCCGCCTGAGCGACCTAGGAGGGATGTGCGCCCTCCGGTGAGGCTGACATATGGGGGAAGAGGCAAGCCGAATGTGGTGCAGGCTGGGAGTGTGGTTGAGCAGATTGAGGAAGATGAGATCGCTCACTGCTACTGGGCACCAATCCCTGAGCCCAAGACTTGAGAGGAGGCCTTGAATGGACCAAATGGGGAGAAGTGGAAGGCGAGTGAGGATGAGGAGTTCAGGTCCCTGATTGAGAACCAGGCATGGGACCTGTGTGACTTGCCTCTTGGGAAGAAGGCAATCACTTCCAAGATGATCTACAGGCACAAGTATGGACCTGAAGGGGAGCTGACCCGCTACAAGTCTAGGCTTGTGGCACGGGGGTTTCAGCAGACAAAGGGGAAGGACTATGATGAGGTGTTTTCTCCTGTGGGGAAAGGAACAACACTGAGGGTGCTGTTGGTGATAGCTGCACTCCTTGGATGGAAGATACGGCAGATGGACATTGTGACTGCCTTTCTGAATGGGATCATTCTGGAGGAGGTGTACATGAAGCAGCCAGAGGGGCTGGATGATGGGAGCGGCAGGGTCTGCAGGCTGAAGAAGGCCATCTATGGCCTTAAGCAGATGCCTCGTGCATGGTATCGCAAGTTGGAGGAGGCGCTGTTGGCTGGGGGTTTCAAGAAGAGTGAGTGTGACCCCAGCCTGTTCCTGCTGCAGGAGAAGGATGAAATCCTCATGCCCTTGGTGTATGTGGATGATATCCTTTTCTTTTCTGCATCAACGGCTTTGCTGGACAGCGCAAAGCAGATGCTGGAGATGCAGTTCAAGTGTTCCAAGATGGGTGAGGTGAAATACTACCTGGGGATGCATGTGGAGAGAGATGTGGAAAAAGGTGTGCTGAGGTTGCACCAGAGGAAGTATTGTGAGGGGCTGGCTGAGAAGTATGGGCTGCAAGATGGGGGAAAGCCAGCAACACCACTACCTTCAAGGTTTACTGTGGAGCCATGTGCTGATGAGGAGGTAGTGGGTGAGAGTGACAGGAAGCTGTTTCATTCGATGGTTGGGTCGCTGAATTATGCTGCAAATCATACACGGCCTGACATTGCATTTGCTACATCACGGTTGGCTAGTGTGGTCTCACGCCCTAGTCATGAGCAGCTAAAAGCGGCCAAGAGGTTGGTCCGCTATGTGAGCGCTACGGCATCAGTGGGATTGGAGTACAGTGGAGTGAGGCAGCCGTTGCAGAGAGGTGCTGCAGATGTGAAGAGTGGAGAGATGCTCTTGAGTTGCTATACTGACGCTAGCTTCAACTCAGTGAAAGCGGATGGCACCAGTATTGGGGGTTATGTGTGCTTGCTGGGAGGTGGTGCTGTGAGCTGGCGCAGCAAGAAGCAGAATGAGGTCGGATTGTCCTCATGTGAGACTGAGTACATGGCCTTACACCATGGGGTCAAGGAAGTGGTGTGGCTGAGGCGTTTGTTGGAGGAGTTGGGAGTTGGTCAGGAGGAGCCGACAGTTGTGTTTTGTGACAATGAGTCTGCTGTGAAGCTCGCCAAGAATGCTTGTCTGCATGGGCTGACAAAACACATAAGGCCTAAGTGGCATTGGGTGAGGAGACTTCTTGATAAGGAGGTGCGGCTGGAGATAGTGAAGACCCATCAGCAAGCAGCAGATATTTTCGCTAAGCGTCTGGCGGAGGCGGATCATTGGAAGGGCATGAAGCTTGCTGGGATGAGTGTGCATTGAGTATGCATGTTTGAGATGTTGGTATGGTGGATGATGGTTGGCAGCCAGAGGGGGAGATTGTTGTGTGATGTCATCATATGCTATCACATTCTGTCTGCCTCCCATCCCTTGTTTCAATTCGTATGTATGGTTTAACTGTGTATGAAAGAATTTGTGTGGTGTGTGTTCTGGAGTTTGGGAATGTGTTTTGTGTTATTTTGTCTGAGCAAGTATTTATGATGATAGACCTTGAGAAGATCTTTCTGACGCAACAAGAATCGCTTCAATCGGAGCAAGAACGCGAAAGCTATGAAGATTCAAAGTTCATGAGCTTGCGTTACAATTGCGGCGGTTACAAAGGGAAGTTGTGGGGTGACTCTATATGGAGTTGGGACCTTTGGGGTTGGGGAAATTTGTCACTCTACTGTAACAGCTGCAAATTGGTTGGGAACAACCAAGCTAGGTTGGCAAGGGTGGCCAACTTGGATGGATTGGTTGGGAAGGGACAAATGTCAAATTTGGGGTTCCTATAGGGGGGGAATCTTTGTGCTTATGGGGTTTTCTTGGTTTGGGACTCTCTTAGAACATTCCCTCTCGTCCCTCTCTTCCTATCCCAACCTTTCTCTTGCTCCTCTAATTCCTTGTGAGATTCTTGAACTTTGATTGAACTTTTGAGATTGAGTTAAGTTCTCCTCCTACAGCTTACCCCCCAATGTTTCGAAAGACATAGCGTCGCGAATACTCTATCAATCAACGTGATTCAAATTGAGAACGGTAGCTACGATTACAAGCTACAACATATACGATGTTCGCAACATTCCAACAACTAGTTGTTCATTCACGTTGTTTCTTGTGAAGACGACTTTTCTGTCCAGAATTTCGGTTTTATATTTTGAGTAATTCTAGCTCCTAAGTTCACCTAGACTCCGTCCTTAATCCTAACATGCTCTACCCTCTACCTGCTTGCCACCCGCCTCCCTGACCATCTTGCTACTGCCCGCGACCGCTTTCTTAGCATCCACCCCGGTGACCTCACCCTCACTGACTTTGTCGACACCCTGTCTGCCATAGAGACGCGCCAGCGTTGTATCGCCCAGACCAGCGGTACTGTGCCGGTCCCTATCTTCCAGGGTTGTGCCCCCGCTCAATGCACCTTCTCCGACGGTTCTGCTGCTCTGGCTGAGACCGCAGCTGCGGCACATTTCCGTCCGGGGAAGGGTCGCCGCCCCAAGGCTGGGCACGGCGGTGGGGGTGGTGGTGCAGATGGAGGTGGTGGTGGAGTCGGGTCGCCCGATGGTAGCGCTGATGAGGGGACCGTGCCTGGTGCAGCCATCTCAGCAGCCGCAGGCGTCGCTGCCGGACCCGCACCAGCCGTAGCAGCAGCCCCAGCACCAACCGCAGCAGCCGCAGCAGCAGAGGTGGGCAAGTGGTCTCCCGCTCGGGTGGCCTGGCGCTGGTGGTGGCGCTGGCCGTGGTGGTCGTGCGCGTGGTGTGTAGTCGGGTGGCGGTTCGGATGACGGACGCTGTTAGTACAAGCTCTAGACCAGTCCGCGCCGTGGCTTCGTTTGCGGTAAGATCGGTCACACCCCCGTTCGCTGTTTTCGTCGCCTTGACGACCTGTTTCGTCAGCGCTTCGGCCCGTCGCCCGACCTCCCCGACTGGCACAGCTTGCTTTGCCGTAGTGTTCTGATTTTTTATATGGACATGGATGAGCTTTATTCTGCCCTGCATGTGCTGTATGCTGATGACTCTAGTGTGACTGTTTCTTACTACCCCTTGTTGGCTAGTGTAGGCATGTCTAGTCCTGCCTCCCCTGCTGCTTCAGGTGTAGGATCCCCTGCCTTGTTTAGCCTTGGTCCTTCCTTCGCTGCTCCGACTCCGGCCGCCACTGCTGCGCTCTCCTTCACCCTGGACTCTGGCGCTTCTCGGTATTTCTTCCGCGGCTCCACTACGGTGACGCCACTGCTGCTCCTGCTGCAGTTTCCCTTGCCGACCCCTCCTCTGGCCCGGTAGTCGCCCGCAGTTCCACCACCCTTCCCTGTCCGGCGGTTCCTTCGGGCTCTCTTACAGGCCTGCACATCCCCTCGTTCTCCAGGAACCTAGATGGTGTCGGCTGCCTCCAGGACCTTGGCATAACCACTAAGTTCCCTGGTCACGAGCGGTACGCTGTCTGTACCGAACGAAGAGTTGTGCTGTTTCTTCGGTGTGTGCTGTCGTGTGTGTCGGGATGAAGTGTCCCATTTTGGAGAACTTGTCGATGACGACAAGGATTGCGTCATGACCGCTGGTGGTCGGCGGTAACCCGGTGATGAAATCCAGGCTAACCACTTGCCATGGTTGTTCTGGGACAGGAAGAGGCTGTAGCAGACCTGCCTTCTTCTGCTTGCTGCTCTTCATCCGCTGACATGTATCACACGAGGTGACGAATTTCTGAACATCTTTTGCCAAGTGGGGCCAGAAGTAGTGCTTTGCGATACCAGTGAGCGTCTTGTTGCTACCGAAGTGTCCTGCGTACAAGACGTCGTGGTATTCTTCGAGTAGTAATTGGCGCAATGGAGGGTAATTTGGTACCCAAATCTTCATTGATCCCTTCCGGTACGCGATGTCGTTGTCCCACTGTAGCAGATGTCGTTTTTCTGCCAAGGGAATTTCGGGGTCGATGGTATACCCGTGTGTGAAGAGTCCCTTGAGGAGTGGATTCATCCCTTCAATTTGGATCGCGGCAACGTGTGCAGGCCGGCTAAGTGCATCTGCTTTGTTTTTGTGGCCGGGCTTGTACACGATGTCGTAGTGGAAGTGTGTCTCGAGGAAGTCAATCCACCGGACCTGCCACCTGGAGAGGCTTGGTTGCGTCTTCAAATATTTTAGGCTGCAATGGTCGGTGTAGACTGTCGTCTTGCGTCCTTCGAGATAGCATCTCCACGTTTTGAAGGCGATGATGATAGCAAGGGCCTCCTTGTCGTGTATCGGGTAGTTGAGTTCTGCTCCATGTAATTTTTTGCTGAGGTAGGCAATTGGTTGCAGTCCATTCCCCTGGTCTTGCATCAAGACTGCTCCCACTGCCTGGTCGCTGGCGTCGGCTTCGATAACGTAGTTGCGTTCGGGGTCTGGCAAGATGAGTACAGGTGCGGACGTGAGTGCTTGTTTCAGCTGCTCCATGGCTTCCTGGTGTTGTGGCTCCCATTAATAGGGCGTGTCCTTCTTTAGTAGATTCGTGAGTGGCGTGGCGATCTTCGCGTATTGCGGCACGAACCTGTTGTAGTAGTTAGCAAAGCCAAGGAATGGTTGTAACTCTTTCACGTTCTCGGGTGTCTTCCACGTACGTACGGCTTCGATTTTCTTGGGGTCGACGTGAACTCCTTGAGCGCTTACGATATGTCAGAGGAACTGGACTTTCTCGAGGGCGAAGTCGCTCTTGGATAGTTTGACGTAGAAGCGTTCTCGTCGAAGAATTTTGAAGACGCGTCGCAGGTGTTCGACGTGTTGTTGCATGTCGCGCGAGTAGATGAGGATGTCGTCCAGGTACACCACCACGCACTCGTCTAGAAGTGGGCGTAGAATATGATTCATCTCTGCTTGGAATGTTGCAGGTGCGTTGGTGAGTCCGAACGGCATTACCAGATACTCGTACAAACCGTACCGAGTTCGGAAAGCAGTTTTGTGAACGGAATCGTCCGCCATTCTTATCTGCCAGTATCCGGACCGCAGATCTAGTTTTGAGAATACCGTGGCTCCTCGAAGCTGGTCAAGCAGGTCATCGATTCGTGGAATCGGGTACTTGTTCTTGATGATCTGCTTGTTGAGGGCTTGGTAGTCGATGCACATGCGCAGGCTTCCGTCCGGTTTCGGTGTGAAGAGTACTGGGGCACTGTATGGTGAAGTGGATGGTCGGATGAGTCATTTGGCGAGGAGATACTCGATCTGTTTCTTCATGTCGGCTAGTTCTATGGGGCTTAGCCGATATGGTGCTCGGAAGGTCGGTTTCGAACCTGGTTCCTCCACAATCTCGTGTTGAGCAAGGTCGTTCTCCGTGAGCAAGGGACTAGGGCTGTAGAGCAAGGTTCACGGTGGTACACACCGTGCACGCCCTGTTTTTAGGGCCGGCTCGCACCTCCATGATCCATGCCGGTGCACCCCATTTTCTATGGCCGTTCGCCATTCGCTACGCCGCTCACCAGCTTAACCTGTCGCCGCACCCCCAGCAGCCTCAGGTTTCGCCGACCCTCCTTTGGTCTAGGTCACCTAGTGACACGTTTGCGTTCCATGTATGGGGCTGTCTTGCTCACGTTCGTGCCTCTCGCACGGACAAGCTCACTGCCCGCACCCTCCCCTGTGTCTTCCTCGGTTTCCCCCTTGAATCGTCTGACTGGCACTTCTACCACCCGCCGTCTTACCGTTCTTTCACTCCCGCGACATCACCTTTGATGAGTCCATCTCCTTCTACCGTCGCTTCCCCCACCGTGGTCCCCCGGTTACTCCCCCCCTGTTCCTGGTCCCCCCTTCCCTGGTGGCCCCTGCCCCTCCCCTTCCCCCTCCCCGTCCTGCCCCATCTGGTGTTTCTCACGTTACCCCCCTCACGTCGGTTGTCCCGGTCGAGGAGTCTGCTGACTCTGGTGGCCCTGCGGCACAGTCCTCGCCGCCTGCCCCTCCCCAGGTGTCTCCTCCTTTGCCGCCTCCGCAGCTGCCGTCGCCGCCGCTGTCGCAGCCGCCGTCACCGCCGCCGCAGCCGTCGTTGCAGCCGCCGCCGCCGCAGCCGTCGCAGCAGCAGTTCGTTGACTCTGGGGGTGCTGGCGTTGGGGTGGGTTCTAGTCCTAGGGTTCCTGTCGTGGCTTGTTCCGGCGGGCCTGGGGGTGGTACCGGTGCTCGAGGGGTTTCGGGCTCTAGGGGTGTTCCTTCTGGCGGTGTTGGAGTGGAGTGTTCCGGAGGTAGCCGTGGAGCAGCTTGCGGTCCTGGTGTCGGTGTCGTGCCGCCGCGGCAGTAGTCACCGCCGGTGGTAGCCCTTCGCCTGCTTGGCCTTCTGTCCCCTGACCACGCGTCTGTGCCTCTCCTACCGTCTCCTCCTCTTCCTATCCACGGCCTCGTGTTCCCTCCCCCGGACTCGACTGCGGCTTGTCTTCCCCCTCGTTCCCCTCTTGTGTCCCCTCCTCTGTCTCCTGACCCGACTCCTCCGTCTAACGTCTGGTCTCGCCGTCCCTCCCGTGCTCGCCCCGTCTCCCTTGTCCCAAGCACTCACCCTATGTTGCTTCGTTCCCACGCGTCTCGTCCTCCCCTCCTACCGTCGCCTCCTCTGTCCTCCCTTGTTGTTGCGCCTCCCCCTCTGTTTGACTACCTTCGCGCCGCTTGTCCTCTAGTTCCTCGGGTCATTGCCTCTCTCGTTACTGACCCGTCTGTTCCGGTCTCGTGTCTTGATGCTCTTGTCGCTGCGGTCGCTGACTTCGCCTCTACCCTCCGCCTTGACTACGCCACCGCTCTAGTCTCTGACCATGCATGTCCTCCGTCTGTCGGGGGTGCTCCTGCCCTCGGCAGTGACGTCCTGGAGGACCGCCAGTACGAGCTTGCTTTCCTGTCCGAAGCTGCTCCCCATCTCTGTTCCATTCTCCTAGTCCGTGAGGGTGACCCAGACGCTTTCGACATCCCGACCCCTCGCACTTACGCAGAGGCGACCTCGGGACCTTGGGCCTCTCAGTGGATAGCTGCCATGGAACAGGAGATGGCATCTTAGCACCTACGTCGACGCAGTTCCCCCACCTGGGGTGAATATAGTCGATGGCCGCTGGCTCTTCAAGGTGAAGCGCCCTCCTGGAGAGCCGCCTGTGTTCAAGGTGTGCTACGTGGCTAGGGGCATCAGTCAGCGTGAGGGGGTGGACTTCTTTTAGACTTTCGCCCCGACCCCGAAGATGACTACTCTTCGGGCACTGCTACAAATAGCAGCACCTCGTGACTACAAGTTACACTCCCTCGACTTCTCCATTGCGTTTCCTCAGGGCAGCCTACATGAGCAGGTCTACCTGCGCCGCCCTCAGGGTTTCACTGGTACCTTCCCTCCTGGGACCCAGTGGCTCCTGCGGCGCCCTGTCTATGGCTTGCGCCAGGCGCCCCACGAGTGGCACGACACGCTGCGTGCTACCCTTGCAGATGTGCAGTACATTCTGTCCTTTGCCGACCCCTCGCCCTTCGTTCGTTCTGGCCAGACTCCGTTCTACATACTTGTTTACGTAGACGATCTGGTCTTTACCATTGCAGACACCGCCGCGCTGGCCTTCGTGAAGGCTGAGCTGCTGAGGAGACACACCTGCACTGACCTAGGAGAGTTTCGCCACTACTTGGGCCCGCAAATCTCCAGGGACAGAGCATCGCGCACCATCACTCTCACTCAGTCAGACTTGGTGCACCAGGTTCTTCAGAGGTTCGGTATGCAGTTCTCCTCTGCACAGCCCGCACCTCTTCCAGTAGATCATAGGCTCTCTGCTCCAGTTCCTGAGGAGTCGGCAGAGCCTTGTGGTCCTTATGCAGAGCTGGTGGGTTGCCTCATGTACCTAATGACTTGCACTCGTCCAGATCTTGCATACCCTTTCAGCATCCTGGCTCGCTTTGTGGCCACAGGCAGACACAGACCTCAGCACTGGTCTGCAGCTAAGAGGGTTTTGCGTTATCTCGCGAGTACATCAGGCATGGGGTTTGTGCTGGGAGAACGCAGGCCAGTGGTCCTTACTGGGCACAGAGGCGCTTCTTGGGCAGACGACGCCGAGACCCTCAGGTCCTCGCTGGGCTACTGCTTTAGCCTTGGTTCAGGTGCTGTCTCGTGGAGAGCTACTTGCTCCTCCTCTGTTGCCCAGTCCAGCTGTGAGGCTGAGATCTACACTGGTTCCATGGCGGCACAGGAGCTCCGCTGGCTGACCTTCTTGCTCACTGACTTAGGTGAGCGGCCTAGCTCTGCCCCGGTCCTGTACGCTGACAACAGGGCCATGATCCTCCTGTGTCAGGAGCCTCGGCTTGAGGGCAGAGCAAAGCACATCCAGCTGCGGTACTTCCTCCTGCGCGAGCTACAGCAGCGTCGTCGGGCCCACGTAGTACACTTGGCCTCCGGTGCCAACACAACTAATATCTTTATGAAGGCGCTTTCGCCTAAAGATCATCAGCGGCACTGTGTACAGCTAGGTCTCGTTCTTGTAGCCTCTCACCTGCTAGGGCCTTGACTATGTACAGACCTTTATATATATTTTACCCTTGACTGGCCTTGTGGCCTCTCCCAGTGGCTGGACTGGTAGTGCCGCCTTGGTCTTGCTGTTGCATTGGTCTGTAGTCATTTGACTGGTCTTTAGACCCTTGCCTCCGAGGTTGGACTAGTAGTGCCACCTTGAGTTGCTCGCACTCACGTCAGGAACTGCCCCTATGCAGTCTAGGGGGTGTGTCAAACATATATTGTTATGTTTGTATAGACTGTATAGGTTTGTGCCTTAGAGGGTACAGCCCTTAGGTCATATACCCTAGTACTCATGCCTTTTACTCATTATTCAATTCTGTTACTACTTCCATTTTATTATTTTCCTAACATGTCATTCTTCAAGGTTAGTCAAGCGAAGTGGATGTCCTGGCTTCGTTCTCATCCCAGTCCATTTCTTCCCCTGCTGTCAACGGCCGGCCTTCCTCTGCCTCTCCCGAAATCGCCTTCACCGGCACTTCCAGCTGCGGAGGCTTCTGCTCACATGAGAGATAGCGAGGGGAGGGACGGCAAGGGAGTAATGTGACAGAAGAGGAAGCGCGAATGCTAAGCAACATCTGCCACTGCTGAGATTGCCTTCGCGAGAGAGTGTGAGTAGGTAAGGAAGAGACGGCAACTGTCCATGTCGCGGATAAGAGGCCACTCAATGGTCTTGAAGAAGGGGTGTGCTTGGATCTCAATGGCGACGTGCTTTGCACCCAGGCGAGCTGCAGGGTCCCTCTGGAGCAGCTGGCGCATCAAGTCCTTGGCCTCGTCTGACACCTGTGAATGAGGCGAATAAGGAAAGCAAATGGGGGGAAGAGGGGGGAACGATAAGTTTCCGTGTCCCTCTAGAGCAGCTGGCGCATCAAGTCCTTGGCCTTGTCTGACACCTGTTGTTGAGGGGAAGGAAATGGGGGGCTACGAAAAATGGAGGGTTAGGGGAAAGAGGGGGTAGTTTAAGCAGTGGGTCCCTCTGGAGCAGTTGGCGCATGAGATCCTTGGCCTGGTCAGACAGTGGAGAGAGGAGGGGGCAGGGAGGGGGCGAGGGAGGAGAGGGAGGAAGGAGGAAGAAGGGGGTAGATATGCCACCGGTCCCCTCTGGAGAAGCTGGTGCTTCAAGTCCTTGGCTTCATCTGATACCTGCAGAGGAGTGAGAAGAGAACCAGTGGGGCAAGGGGTGGGAGAAAAGGGAAGGGAAGTTGATCAGCAGGAAGTGAGCTGATGGCTGGCTGACGGTCAGGCCTGACAGTTAGGACTTTGAGCACTTCCATTAATGTTAATGGAAGTGCACTGACAGTTAGGACTTTGAGCACTTCCATTAATGTTAATGAAAGTGCACTGACAGTTAGGACTTCGGGCACACAAACTTAAGTTACAGGAGGATTGGCACGGAATACGTTGGTGAAGGTGCGCTGACGGTTGACTGTTGAGTCATGTCAATTAGAATGATGAACGTACAGGAGGGTTGGCAGGGAAAGCCAGGTCCTTGGTGAGCACGTTGGTGAAGGTGCGCTGGCAGTTGACTGCTATTTTGGGCTACTTACAGGTGGGTTGGCGGGGGAAAGCCAGGTCCTTGGTGAGCACGTTGGTGAAGGTGCGCTGGCGGTTGACTGCTATGCTGGGCTACTTACAGGTGGGTTGGCAGGGAAGGCAAGGTCCTTAGTGAGCACGTTGGTGAAGGTGCGCTGGCGGTTGCGACCATGGAAGGGGCTGCGGCCGTACAGCAGCTCGTACAGGAAGATTCCAGGAAGGAAGCGAGGGAGGAGATCAGGGAAAGAAATGTGTAAACTTGCGATGCAATCCTCTGTGCCCACAAAGGCATAATATCAAGCATAGACCCAAAAGGGTGTTTTTGAGAATGCTTAAAAACACCCTGCGAAGGCATAACATCAAACATAGACCCAAAAGGGGCAGTGGGGTACAAACCAAAGGTTCACCAGTCAACGCATCTTCACCAACGCGCCTGCCATGCAAAGACTGCACTAACGGGACTGCTTTGCCTGTGGTGCTAAAAATCTCGGGAGCGATGTACTCCTCCGTGCCCACCAAGCTGTTGCTGTACCAGTCAACGTCCAAGGGCTCAAAGGGGTAGCTAAGCACACTCACCGAACGTCCACCAGTCGACAGGGCTGCTGTGGCCCGTACTGCTGATGATCTCACGGGCAATGTACTCCATTCCCACAAAGCTGTTGCTTGTCGCCTCTGGCTCCCCAAGGTGTGGGGCCCTTGCCATGCTTAAAAACACAGGGTTTCAAGGGTTGCTACGAACACTCACCAAACGTCCACCAGTCGACAGGGCTGCTGTGGCCCGTGCCGCTGATGATCTACGGCGCAATGTACTTCTCCGTGCCCACAAAGCTGTTGCTCGTGGCCTCTGGCTCCGCCACCAGAATCGGCAGAATCTCCGATTCAAGCTCTGAGGGCGTGGGGCCCTTGGACGCCCCGCCGCACCCCACTGAGGCCGCTTTCTTCTTGCGCTTCTCAAAGTCAGCCAACACTGGGGGGAACTCGAGCTGATACACAGGAAGGACAGGAGGGATGGGGGGGGGGGGGGGAGCAGGAGGGAACAGCGGGAGCAGTTAGAGCTGTTGCTGGTGGACTCTGGCTTTGCCACCAGAATGGGCAGAATCTCCAGCTCCAGCTTCGAAGGGGTGGGGCCCTTCAAAAACCCCGCACCCCACTGAGGCCGCTTTCTTCTTGAGGTCTGCTAGCATGTTTGGCCGCCTTTTTCTTGCGCTTGTCGAAATCAGCCAGGACAGGGGGGATTGCAGCTGAACGTACGAATAAAATGAATGAGACATAGAAACAAGCACGGAAGCAAGGTCAAGAGAGTCAATGCAGTCAGGAGGAGGAGCGCATACCTTTGGTTTGCACTCCGTGCTAAAAGAGAGGTCGAAGTCAGTGAGCATGGCATGGCCTGACTCCTGCACCAACACGTTTTCTGGCTTCAGGTCACGGTACACCACGCCTAGAATGGGTTGGGCAGAAGGGGTACAGAGGACAAGGTACAAGGAGTGAGCCCAAGACTCCAGGCCAGGTCAGGTCTGAAATAGATGAGCATGGCGTGGCCTGACTCCTGCACCAACACGTTTTCTGGCTTCAGGTCACGGTACACCACGCCTGTAGTAAGTCAAAAAGCGAGAGGAAAAGGGTGTAGGGCCGTAGAAGTGGGTTTTGGGTTTGTATCAGGTTGAGGGCAAGGGATACAGAGTACGATGTTATGTTGTAGAGTTAAAACTTAGGGTTGATTCAGTGAGCATGGCGTGCCCTGATTGAAGCGCCAAACATGCTCCCTGGGCTTAAAGCCACAGTGCACCACCTTGGCCGGCAGTGCAGGTACTCCAGCGCCTGCAGCACCTCGGCCACAAAGAAGCGTGCAGCAGCCTCTGGCAGACTGGAAGCACCTTGTGGCACAAACCATACACCCACACACAGCACTTGCACTCCCTGTTTCACCTTGGCAGTGCAGCAACCCACCTTGGCAGTGCAAGTACTCGAGCGCTAGCAGCACCTCGGCCACAAAGAAGCGTACAGCAGCCTGAAAGCACTCGTTCCCCCTGAAAGCATGCTTTCCCCCGATCATACCACACGCCATCACAGCAAAACACACAAGCGCCCACCTTGGCAGTGCAGGTACTCCAGCGCCAGCAGCACCTCGGCCACAAAGAAGCGCGCAGCAGCCTCTGGCAGGCGCTGGCCCTTCTGCTTCTCCAGAATGCCATACAGCTCGCCGTCTGCACAGAACTCAGTGATCAGGCAGACGTGCGTGGCAGTCTGGAGGGTAACAGGAGGGAAGGGACATGGGTTGGAGATCTTCAGAATCCCCCTGGTGCTTCTCCAGAGTGCTGTACAGCTCGCCCCCAGCACAAAATTCAGTAATGAGGCACACGTGGGTGGCGGTCTGTGCGTGGGGAGAGGAAAAAGGGTCGCTTTAGGGAGGAAGGGGAGGAGAGGGCGATTACAGACATATCAAAACACCCCTTGTGCTTCACCAGGATGCTGTACATCTCGCCAACGGAACAGACTCCATGAACAGGCAGACATACGTGGCGGTCTGGGGGTAACACGAGGGAAGGGGCATGGGGAGGGTAGCGACAGAACAGAACCCCCCTTGTGCCTTTTGAGTCAGCTCAAAAGTCGGCATGGGGAGGGGAGCGACAGAACCCCCCTTTTGCCTCTTCATAAGGCCGTACAGCTCGGCGCCGCAAAACCCCGTTATCAGGTACGCGTGCGTCACGGTCTGGGGGGAGAGCCCATGGGGATATTGGGGAAGGGAGTGCGGTTGCAAGCACATTGTTGTGGTTGATGAGCACGTGACACAACGGCACAATCTAGTGCAGGCCGTGCCTGGAAGGAGGCCGTACCTGGAAGGGGGCCATACCTGGAAGGAGGCGTAGAGCGTCGGCAAAAAGGGGAAGTTGATCCTCCCCAGGATGCCCCGCTCCGTGCATGTGCGGTGCACCTTGCTGCGATTGATGGGGGCACTACGTGCAGGTGGTGTGAAGGCTCCACCTAGTGAAGGTCGTACCTGGAAGGAGGCGTAAAGCATGGGATGGAACGGAAAGTCGATCTTCCCTAGGATATCGCGCTCAGTGCATGCGCGGTGCAACTTGTTGCGGTTGATCATCACCTCCTTGTCCATCGCCTTCATCGCAAACAGACGGGTGGTGTCCCGCAGCTCCACCAGGTGCACACTGTTGGAGAAAGAGGGGTGCAAGTGTGGAAGGTGAGAGGGGAAGGGCATGCAAGCATGGGTGCATGCACGGTTGATCATCACCTCCTTGTCCATCGCCTTCATCGCAAATAGGCGGGACGTGTCTCGAAGCTCCACCAGGTGCACACTTGTAGGTTGGGTGCGGTCGAAATGGAGGGGAGGGCACATGTGAGCATGTGAGCATGGGTGCACCACCTTGTTGCAGTTGATCATCACCTCCTTGTCCATCGCCTTCATCGCGAACCGGCGGGTGGTATCCCTCACCTCAACCAGGTGCACGCTTGGAGATGGGAAGAGGATACAGGAAAGGACATGCAAGCATGGGTAGGTTCACGCGTAGTTGATCATCACCTCCTTGTAATTCGCCTTCATGGCATTCAGACGGTTAGTATCCCTCAGCTCCTCTAGATGCACTTGAACTGTTTTTAGGCTCACAAAGGTTACAGCTGCTCGCTCACCTGCCCGTGTCTCCAGCGCCCAGAAGCTTGATTGGTTGGAAGTGTTTGAAGCTGAGCTTCCCGTCCTTCTTGATCACCTGTCGGGCACGCGAAAAAACGAACAAACAAGGCAGATTGGCTTACATATAAGTAATGCTTACTGCCCCATCAACCTTTTTCCCTCCTGGCCACCCTTGCCAGTCGAGGTCAGCAGCTTGTGCGGCTTAACTGCCCACTATCGCCACACCTCGTGCACTATCGCTGCACCTCCTGCACTATCGCCGCACCTCCTGCACTATCGCCGCACCTCGTGCACTATCGCCGCACCTCGTGCACTATCGCCGCACCTCGTGCACTATCGCCGCACCTCGTGCACTATCGCCGCACCTCGTGCACTATCGCCGCACCTCGTGCACTATCGCCGCACCTCGTGCACTATCGCCGCACCTCGTGCACTATCTCCGCACCTCGTGCACTATCACCGCACCTCGTGCACTATCACCGCACCTGGTGCACTATCGCCGCACCTGGTGCACTATCACCGCACCTCGTACACTATCGCCGCACCTCGTGCTCTATCACCACACCTCGTGCTCTATCGCCACACCTCGTGCACTATCGCCCCAACTCGTGCACTATCGCCGCACATCGTGCACTAGCGCCGCACATCGTACACTATCGCCACACCTCGTGCACTATCGCCACACCTCTTGCTCTATCGCGACACCTCGTGCACTATTGCCAGACCTCGTGCACACCGCATCCTTGCATACGAACGAGACGAGAATAACTACCAACTAGCATGATCAGCGTACTATCATGGGGTCACCCAACTTGTGCCGCTTGACCGCTCGTCAATACAACTTGTTCATACCTCCACCATGCATACAAGAGTAACTAACAACTAGCATGATCAGCGTACCTCCTAAATGGCCTGCCATGCGAGGTCTGCCGTATTGTGCAGCTTCACTGCCACAGGTGCCGTGTGCATGGCCCACAGGTCCGCAGCAGACTGACAGGGCGACAGAGGGGGGAGGGGGGGGGGAAGGGTAAAGAGTTTCACGAGCTCTAGCTGCTTCACTACCACGCTTGCAGTGTGCACGGCCCACAGGTCCGTAGCCGACTGACAGACAGAAGAGGGGATGGTGGAGAGTTGAACAGACAGCAAGGCGGGAAAGAGGAGCTTCAGTTGGCTGATTGCCACAGCTGCGGTGTGCACAGCTGATGAGAGTTTCAGCCACCGCAACAGCCGTTGCTGGGGGAATGCGGGGCGCCGTCGCTGCGGCAACAGCAGCCGCCTCCGCTGCTGCAGCAGCCGCGTCAAGGGACATTGCAGCGGCGGAAGCTGGGGGGCCCTTGAGTGGGGGCTCGGATGGGGTTGCGCCTGGGGGGTTTGCGCTTGGTGGGGTTCGCCAGGCAGAGCGCCAGTCGCTGCTGAAGGGTGGTTGATATACGATTGTGTTGTTTGCAGTAAGACGTACAATAGCGAATCAGCTCATGCGAGTCATCTGCGGTCCAGGCTACACACGTCCAAGGCTGCAACCGCTGTGGCAACCGCACGGGCAGGTGTTACTGGGGCAGGCATTATCGGGATTGGGGTTCAAGGTTCAGGGGTTTTGGACCTCTCTAGGCCGGTGATTCGGAGGGTTGAGGCGAAACCAGTGGTTGTGGTGGTGAGGGGGAGAGATGCAAGAGTTAAGGATAAGGAGAAAGGGATGGTGGAGGAAGGGGAGGAGGAGGAAGAGGAAGAGGAGGAGTGGGAGGAGGTGGATGAGGAGGAGGCCGCGACATTGCTGGCAGAGGGAGGGGAGGAGGTAGAAGAGGAGGGAGAGGGAAGCAAGGAGGGAGAAGGGAAGGAAGGGGAGGAAGGGGAGGAGTGGGAGAAGGGTAGAGGAGCAGGGGGAGGAGGGGAGGAGTGGGAGCAGGGGCAGTGCTATTTCTGCGACAAGAAAAGCAAGGGGGGGGGGGGGGGTGGACGAATGCGTGGAGCACATGCACAAGCACCACGGGTTCTTCATCCTGGATATGGAGATCCTCACGGACCTGCAAGGGATGCTACAGTATCTGGCGGCGAAGGTCACCCAGGGGCGCATGTGCCTGTGGTGCGATAACAGGAGCAAGCAGTTCAGCTCGATGGAGGCGATACGAGCGCATGTGGAGGCGAAGAGCCATGGCAAGCTACGGTACGGTGATGGTTCTGGGATTGCTGAGGAGGAGCTAGAAGACTTCTATGACTTCAGCAAGAGGTGCGTCCTGGGTTCGGGGTTCAATGTATTCATGGTTCTAGGTATTCAGGGTTCTGTTTCTGGGCCAGCATTTTAGTACAGTGGAGGCGGTTAGAGCGCATATGGAGGCTATGAGCCATGACAGGCTGCGGTATGGTGATGGGTCCGGTATCGCTTAAGAGGAGCTAGAAGACTTTTATGGCTTCAGCAAGAGGTACGTCACATGTTCAGGGTCTAGGGTTTGGCAGTTCAGCTCAGTAGAGGCGGTGAGGGAACATATAGAGAAAAAGATTTTATGGTTTGGGGACATTTCAGCACTTGGCTTGACAGGGTTTGCTGCTTTGTGAGGGGGTTTCAGGACGTCTCAAGGTTTCGTAGGAGCGGCCGCATACTGTTCGGTAATGAGTCCACGCGGAGGTAAGGCCGAGTTGAAATGACACACATGCTTTCACGCGCATGGTGTTATTTTAGCCAATCACACGCTTCGTGCCACATGCACCCTTATCTGCACCCCTACCCCCCTACCCTGCAGCTGCATTGAATACGATCAGCACCATGCCTCCACTGGTCAAGGCCACGTGTGGACGAACGTCGTCAGCTATGATCAGCTCACGGCTCGTGCCCTCCTCGTAACTGGTAAGGAGGGCACGGAAGGGAGGAAAGGATGGAGAAATAAGAGAGGAAACAGAAGGTAAAGAAACGATCAGCCGGGATTGGCTCACGGCTCAAGCACTCCTTGTAACTGGTGGAGGGTGCAGGAGTGAGGTAACTATGGAGGGGAGGGGAAAATGGGAAAGAAGAGGGGAATTTTGCATGTACAAGCAGCCTTCAGGCTTGTTTTTCACTCATCACTTGCATTAGTGTTCAACCTCATTTGAAATAACTCCCTGTTCTGACACGCTTTGTCACCTGGCGTTTTTCCCGTGTGTGACATCATGGTGCGGCATTTCTGCAAAAAAACATGCGATTGTAAGTGATACAACTCGGCCTTACCTTCGCCCCGACCCCGAAGATGACCACTCTTCGGGCGCTGCTACACGTAGCAGCTCAGCGTGACTACCAGCTGCACTCTCTGGACTTCTCCACAGCGTTTCTCCAGGGGAGTCAACATGAGCAGGTCTACCTGCGCCGTCCGTCGGGGTTCACCGGCACCTTCGCCCCTGGGACCGAGTGGCTCCTCTGGCGCCTAGTTTACGTCCTGCGGCAGGCGCCCCGTGAGTGGCACGATATGTTGCATGCTAGGTTAGCTGACTTACAGTTCTTCCCGTCGTCTGCAGACCCTTCACTCTTCGTCTGTTCAGGTCAGACCCCATTCTACATTCTTGTCTACGTAGACGACCTGGTCTTTGCTACTGCAAACAGAGACGCTCTGGCCTTGGTGAAGGCTAAGTTGCTGAGGAGACACACCTACACTAACCTTGGAGAGCTGCGTCGCTACCTGGGGCTGCAGATCTCCAGGGACAGAGCAGCGCGCACCATCACTCCCACACAGTCACACTTGGTGCGCCATGTCCTTCAGAGGTTCGGTCTTCAGTTCTCCTCCGCCCAGCCCACACCTCTGCTAGAAGATCACAGGCTCTTGGCTCCAGTCCCTGAGGAGTCCGTAGAGTCTAGTGGTCCGTACGCAGAGCTCGTGGGTTGCCTCATGTACCTGATGAGTTGCACTCGTCCAGATCTC